CTCAGACTCTAAAGCCCTTGAGAAGTTCCAGAAGTCCCCTTTAGTACCGCTGCCCCAGGCCCCGGGGGCTCCTCGACCTCCTCAAGCACCGACTACTTTCCTCTAGGCATGGTCATCCAGCCTGAAACGCGTCCCCCACTCACTTCATGGTGGACATGATTGTTTTTCTGTAGAGTTTAAAGGTTAGGTTTGAGGCAATATCACTCTCTTAGTCTGCAGGGCAGAGAGTGAGAGAAACAGAGGGTATCAGAGCTCTGTGATGGACTAAACAGGCTTTTGTGGGCTGGCATGGGAACCAGCTTCTTTTACCCACATTGTTTCTGTGGAAGATGCATTCTGGGTCCCAGAAACCTTATTACCCACTGACTAGGTGGACATGGCTTATACATTTAGCTTCTTGTAATTTCAAAATAGCTTTGGCATTGGAGAGCTGGGCTGCTTGGAGGAAAAGAAAGCCTCTACCTGCCCTCAGTGTTTCTCACCTCAGCTCTAAATATATTAAAAGGCCCACCCCACTCCAACCTCTCCATCCCATAATGCACATTTTTTTGAGACAGGATCTTCTTCTGTCACCCAGGCTGCAGTGCAGTGGTGTGATCACAGCTCACTGAAGCCTCGACCTCCTGGCTCATGCAATCCTCCCACCTCATCCTCTTGAGGCAGGACTACAGGCACGTGACACCATGCCTGGCTAATTTTTTGTAGAGCCAGGGTCTCACTATGTTGTCCAGGGTGGCCTCGAACTCCCAAAGTGCTAGAATTACAGGTGCGAGCCACTGTGCCTGGGCCCATAATACGCTTTTTAATGCCAGTAAATTATCCAGGGTCTGGAGGGGTGGGAGTGAAGGAAGGAGGTAGCGGGATATATTGGAGAGAAGAAAAGTGAGAGAACCCCTGCTATGATCTGCTGAGGCTGCCATAGTGAAATCCTGCAGACTGGGTGGCTTACACAACAGTCCAAGATCAAGGTGTTGGCCAGATTGGTTTCTTCTGAGGTCTCTCTCCTTGGCTTGTAGATGTCTCTCTTCTCCCTGTGTCCCCACATGGACTTCCTTCTATACGTCTGTGTCTAAATTTCCTTTGCTTATGAGGAGAGCAGTCATAAGGGATTAGGGCCAACCCGAATGACCTCATATTCCATTAATTACTGGTTTAAACACCCTATCTCCAAATACAGTCACATTCTGAGGTACTGTACATTGAGATTTCAACATATGAATTTTAAAGGACAGAATTCAGCCTGTAACAGGAGCCATTTCCTGTTTGGAATTTCTGTGTGCCTGGCAGGGGATGCTTTAGCTAGAAGTGAGGTGGCCCTCACACGGCATCAAGCACAATGGAAGGTGTAATGACCACCTGCTGCTCCCCACTTTTGTAGCCAATTCTTTGAGATCCCAGAGCAATGAAGTATAGACAGAGCCAGGTTCAGCACATGAAATCTGTAGAAATTTGATTGACACAAAGATGCTGCCGGCTTCTTGGGATCAGGCCAGAGGTGTTGCAAATCGAAGGCAGAGGAATTTCCTAAGCATCTCTAAAGTTATGGCTGAAGCTTCTGTAAATTAGAAAACCCTTCTCCCACTGCAGTGTTTCTCAATCCCTTATCACTGCAACAGCCAGGATGAGTGGCAGGTGCTTTAGAAAGAGGGGCAGCGGGAGCAAGCCCTCCAGTTCTCCTTCTATCACTGAGTTGAAGATGTTGGTCCTTTTGAGTCTCGCCTAATAGTTTCATCTCCCTCTGATGACCGACCCGTATGTCCTGAAACATTTTGGGGTGTATCTGGGGTAAGGATATTGCTGGCATCATTTTATACATATAGATCATAAGGAAACCAAAATGACAGAATGTGTACATGTCACCTGTGGGAAAGGTGAGACTCCTAAGCCAATAGGAAGCAAGTTATGTCCAGAAAGCAGTTATGCTCCTTTTATTTGATAATAAAGGGCAACCAAGCACTTGATCCTAGGAAATAAGTGAGGAAGTGTAGGAAACAAAGTGGATTTGACTCCAGACCTCTGCTGCTTAAGAGGGGAGTCCACTGTAGCTCCCCTCAACAGGAAAAGCTCAACCTTTGGGGCCTGGCACATCTGAATCCATATCTTGGTGGTGTGACCCTGGGTAAGTTACTTAATCTCTTGCAAGCCTCAGTTTTTATATCTGTAAAATGGGGATGACACCCAAATGATGTAATTTATAGATGTGTTGAGCCCAGTGCCTGGCACATAACAGGTGCCTAGTGCATATCAGCTTCTTCCTTGTTCTTCCTCTCCCAATCTGTGTCTCTGGGTCTTTCTACTTTGCCTGGGGAAGGTGACTGTCACTCTTGCCACTTCTCTGCAGCATTGGTCATGTAATAAGATGTAAGAAGCCTGGCATATGCATTATAATTACAGAGTTTCTCAGTTTTCCTGTCTTTAACTCCTGTTGAGTTAGATATGGTGATATCTGAGTTGCTTTCCATCTCTGACATTTGTGAATGCTATATTCTATTGGGGCTGTGGGACCTTGGCCTTGGAAATGCATGAGTTAGTCAGGACCCCTTTCATCCTGATGGTCAAAGCCTGGTCTGGATCCCTTAGAAACAGCTATGGGACACACAGACCTCTCCCTACCCCCGACCATAAGAGGAGGGAGGGTGGTGCTGGGGCTGGTGACAGAGCTAAAGGGTGTTGCTAAATTAAACACCACGTCTTACATCAATTCCACAGTGACACTTCTCTACAGAGTCAGGCTGACATTCATTTCTTATAAGAACACTTTGTCAAAATAATTTTTTTATTAAAAAAAGAAAGATTCTTGCCAAGGCAGGAGAACCATATTTTCCAGGACTCTCCAAGGGAGAACTGACTCAGACAGAGCAAGCTCTGAGCAGGGGTATCTGCTTATTGGCATCTCAGAGATCTGAGCCTGGGGTAGGCGTGAGCTCTGAGAGGTTATTGGCTCCACATCTTGTGCTCCTAGGCCAAGATCCCAGACCCCTCTGTAGGATGGAAGAGAAGATGCTTGGAGCTTGGAGCTCTGGTTCAACCCAGAGGGGGAAGTGACTGCCTCAAGGTCTCAGTGCCTTCTGGCAGGGTAAGGCTGGAGCTGTCTCATTCATGAGTGAGCACAGTGAAATGGAAAGGACAATAGGCCCATTGGTGCCCCTCTCTCATACTCAGCTTCTTATTTGAAAAGTAAGAATAATTATGCCTAATTTAGTGGTTATCATGGGAACTAGGTTAGAGGGTTTATGGGAAGGTGCCTGGCTCAATGAATACAGGGATGTAATTCTGGAAGGCATAGGAAATCCAGAGGTCTATACACGAGGAAGGAGAATTCACTGGGCTCTTCTACCCAAACAGCTTCCCGGAAGTTCCACTACACTGCTTCCTAGGGCAGGACTGGGGAAGGAGGAGCAACCTATCAAGTACTCATGGGCTCCAGCACCTTCTTTGTGAGTAGGATGTGCTCCTGACCACTGCACCACACTGCCTCCCTAAAAGAGTTGTGAACTTTTATAATGAGAACTCAACCTTTTCTGGGCCTTCTGAGCAGTGAGAAGACACCATCTTGAAATAATACTCTAAGTTTGAGGCAAGGTCAGAACTCGAACCCAGGTCTCTGCTAACTCAGATCAATGTTGGTCTCCCAGGCTCATGGGAACTGTCCCTGGTGCTGACCGCAGGTCCACACTCTCTAGCTTGACTTGGCCTCACATCTGACTTGGGTTCCCGCCGTAAAAGGCCCTTAAGAACCTCTTTTGGCAGAGGAAGACAAAGCCCCCAGAGGACAAGTGACTTGTCCAAGGCCACATAGCAGTTCCCTGTGACACTAGAGTACTTCATCACTTACTTCATTGCCCATGGATTCTGCATTTCTAGATTGACATTTGAGACCAGGTTTTAAGCTTATCTTTGTCACTGACTCTGCCAAAGTCATAGAAAGAGACATCTTACAAGTGTGTAGTACTTACTAACTTTTGAAGTGCTCTCACTTTGAATTTTCAAAACAACCTTTTTGAACAAGACAGATAGGATGGAAAATAAGGTAAGACAGAGGAGATTCAAAGAGAGGCTAAGTGGTTTTCTTAAGGCTGCCCAGCTAGTGAGTGGGAGAATCAGGACTGGAATCTGGTTCTTCCAGCGTCTTATGCTGATGTCTTCTGCATGATCCCCATGTGACTTGTTTGGCCAAGCTTAGCCCTGGAAGAAATCTTACTGGGTCCATCTGAGCCTGTGCTCCCATCCTGTTCCTCGGCCTGCTCCCTTGAACCTGTTGGGGGTTCTGGCACACCTGGTCTGGGGCAGATGCTTTCTTCACAGTCATGCCAGGAGGGGAAGGGAGGCAGGCCATTCACGGTCTATTTTCACCTTACACTTCTCCTGGATGGTGTCTGCCTCAGGGATATTGGCAAGGAATTCTATGTAAACTGAATAGGGGCCCACAATCTGGAACAAAAAACTCTTCAAAGACTGGAGAATAGGCATAAAGGAATGTAGTTAGGGGCTGAGAGGAAGGAGGCTGTGAAGACAAGCAGGAATCAGAGTGAAAGAAGAGCACCCCACCCCCCGTACCTCATTACAGTATGGTGTCCACCCTCATTAGAGGGCATCATGGCCACAACACCCCTTCACAGTGTATTTGGACCCTCTTTGGGCTGGTAGATTATGAAGATATCTATAAGGTGGTTGTAACGTAGACTGACTCAATAATGGGCTGCAGCCAGGGTACACAGATGTCTCTGCTTTTATCTTATTATCATTTTTTTTTTGAGATGGAGTCTCACTCTGTCACCCAGGCTGGAGTGCAGTGGTGCGATCTCAGCTCACTGCAACCTCTGCCTCCCAGGTTCAAACAATTCTCCTGCTTCAGCCTCCTAAGTAGCTGGGATTACAAGCATGCACCACCACACTTGGCTAATTTCTGTATTTTTAGTAGAGACTGGATTTCACCATGTTGGCCAGGCTAGTCTTAAACTCCTGACCTCAAGTGACACTCCTGCCTTGGCCTCCCAAAGTGCTGGGATTACAGGCATGAGCCACCACGCCCAGCATCTCTGCTTCTAATACTCAGCTTTTCTCCTCTGTTAATGATCATCACTTCCCAAGAAGAGATCAGTGGAAATTTCCTGCAGCCACTGTGTTTATTTATGAGCAGTGCATGCATGTGATTGGGCACACACTGGCCCACTTTTTCTCTCTTTCTTTTCTCTTTCCTCTCTTTCTTCTTTTACTCATACCCATCCCATCTCTTCATCCAAGCAGAGGTAGGTGAAGACCAAGGGAGAGAGTGGGGGGCTGGAGAGGGAGCTGGGTGTGGGGAATTTCAGCGTGACCTTCTTCAGTCATGCGATGAAAGAAAGAGCTGTTTCTCTCCTCCTTGCCCCTCACCCCATCCTTTATCTGTAATAAGCTCCCTTTCCCAGGATTGCCACGGAGGAGGAGAAGGTGGAAAATTATTCCTGTTCTGCTCCTAGAAAACTTTAAAATGCTATCGCCATGGAAACTGCTCTCGAGCAGTCTTGGAGCACGCTTGTGGGAGAGGGTGAGGCAAGGTGGGGGAGGATGAGGATGATGGTGGATGAGACGCTCACAGGGGTCTCCCCACCACCTCAGCACTGTTGGTTCTTCCTGTTTCTGTGATGCATGATAGAACCAGGCTATTTCCTTCTGGGGTGAGTGGACACAGAAACTATTCCTGGATCGGAGGGATGTGGGGTCACTGGGATCTGTTTGTCCCCCACAGCAAGCCCGCTCTGACTGAGTTCCGATTGTGTGCATGTGTGCAGGCTCTTTGTGTACGTGTGGCAGGGGAGGAAGGGCATAGAGGTGAAACCATCTTTGCTATCACAAGAATTTGCAAGCTAGAGGGTGGAGAAAGAACTGCCACCTCTTTGGAACTTACTACGTGCCACCTACTTTATATATAGTTCCTTTTAAAATCCTTACCTCAACTGTTAAAAAGACAATTAAACACCCATTTTACAGAGGAGGAAACTAAGGTTCAGGGAAGCCAAGTGACTTGCCCAGGAACACATTGCCAGTCAATGGCAGAGCTGGAATTTGAGAACTGGACACTCTGACTCCAAATGATGCTCAGTTACCATTTCTTCAATGCCTACCGTGTGTCAGGTGCTGTGCTTGACACTATATTTATCATTCTTGCAGCTGTGCGAACAGAGAGCTTTTATCCCCAGGTCGCAAAGGAGGAAACTGAGACTCACTGTGGTTAAATAATTTTCCCAGGGTCACATGGATAAGAGGTGACAGAGCCAGGAGATATATACATATGTATTTTTTGAAGATGGGGTCTTGCTCTGTTGCCCAGGCTGGAGTGCAGTGGTGCAATCATGGCTCACTGAAGCCTCCACCTCCCAGGCTTCAGCAATCCTCCTGCCTCAGCCTCCTGTATGGCTGGGACCTCTTTTTTTTTCCTTAGAGATGGGGTCTCCCTATGTTGCCCAGGTTGGTCTCGAACTCCTGGACTCAAACGATTCTTCTGCCTTGGCCTCCCAAAGTGCTGGGATTACAAGTGTGAGCCACCACACCTGGCCCAGGATTGAAAGCTAAACAGCAGAAATGGGATTTGAATCCAGGTGCAAGAGAGTGAAGTGGGGCGGGGAATGCAGAATGTGGGCTGAGGCCAGCTGGTCTCACCTCAGGGCCCAGAGCAAACACTGAGTCACAATATGGGAACCTCTTACAGGTTGTCTCTAAGGCTCACACAGCCCTGGAGAGTTTGGCCCAGAAGTGGGGGGTGAGCAGAAGGCTCCATGATGTGCCTAGTTGATAACCCATCCTTGGGGTGTGGGGGAAAACAGGAGATCCTACCTAGACCACGAGGCAGGAGAGTGGTTCAGTGGAAGGCAATGGTGAACAGGAGGAGAACCGTAGAGGATAAAACTCTAAACTTAAGTGGGATATACTTCCTTTCCCACAGGGAAATGGGAAGGAAATTCCATATTAACCAGAATAATGGGCAAGGCTATGCTGCAGTAATACACATCCCCAAAGATCAGTGGCTCAGTACTCTGAGGTTTATTTCCCATTCATGCTATGTCCTGTCAGTTAGTCTTTGCCCAGTAGCAAACCATTTGAAACTTAGTGGCTCAAAACAAAAAACTATTTAATATTTTTTTCTGATTCTGTGGGTTGACTGGGTGGTTATTTTGGTCTATGCCAGTTCAGATGGGGCTAGATGGTTTAGGGCGGCCTCACTCACATCTCTGGGATTTCAGGTAGAACAGTTGGGGCCTTGCCTCACTCCATGTGGTCTTCTCCAGGAGGCTAGCTGAGGCTTTTTCACATAGTGGCAGAAGTATTCCTTCCCAGCCAGGAAACAGGGCAAGCTCCAATACTCAGGCACTTCACAAGCCTCTGCTTGTATCATATTTAAAAATATATCATTGGCCAAAGCAAATCCCATGGCCGAGCTGGTTCAAGCTTTGTAGGAATGGACTTCGTCTCTGGATGGGAGGAATAGCAAAGCCATCTTGCAAAGGGGAAGGCACACAGGGAGGGGAGGAATAAGTCCGGCCATCTTTACAATCTACCTCGTGCCTTGCCATCCGGGGCCACTGGATAGATCTGCCCCACGTCTTCCTCATTCCAGGACCCAGGCTGGTCGTGATTCCACCTTATTGCTGCTGATTGCTGAAGCAGGAAGAAGAGAATGTGGTGAATTACACATGACCTCCTAAAGCCTCCATCAAGGAGAGGCACATCACTTCTGGTCTCATTGCTTTGGCCAAAGCAAATCATGGCCATGTCCAATTTCATGAAGGTGGGGAAGTAGGATTCCACCATGTGCTTGGAAAGAGAACTGCAAACATTTGGAGAATGGCACTAATGACTACCACCAGCATCATTTATGGAGTGCTGACTAGATGCTGGGCAATTTAAAAATGTTATCTCAGAATGTTCTCATGGCATCTTTATGGGGTAGGGATTATCATCTCTGTTTTGCAGCTAATGAAGCAGAGCGGTTGAGGAACTCACCCAAGGTTATGCACCCAATAAGAGGCAGAGCCAGCACTGGGACCCAGTTAGTCTGACCCCAGAGGTGATATCCTTTCTAGAGCACATTTGTTGCCTACCTCCTCAGAGAGAGGACAGAGGGCATGCTTCACAGGTGACTCAGGCTTCCTGCAAGGAAGTGGTGTGGTGACGTTTACATCGTGTGTTCACCCAGTCATTCATTCATTTGGCTCACAGTTACTTAAATGCTACCATGGACAAGAGCAGCAGTGGATAAGACAGACTTGGTCCCTGTCCGCACGGTTTAAGATTGGGAACACTCACCTGTGATCCCAAAGGTCAAGGATTTCCTGTTTTCAGCTTGAGAAAATGGGGAGTTTCCAAGGTTGAGGAGGCTCACAGGTTTCCTACTCTAACAAGGGTTCCCCACAGATCAGAGGAGCTGGGGAACATTGCCCCAGCATCTGGGCTTCTCAGAAAGCCTGGGGAGCTGGCAGCCTCACTGCTGTATTTTGTGGGAGCTGCATAAATGCTCAGTGATGAACAGTTAACGAGTAATGCATCCCACATGCTGGACAGAACCTCTCCTGGCGTTCTTGAATCCAGAGAAATTGCTGGGCTCACGCATGAAGCAGAGGGTTCCAGGAACCCACACAGGTGAGTTTCCTGGGCATTTTAAAGCTTGGGAGGGAGGTCACAGTCTTGTTAAGCCACCCATGGCCCTGACAGTCCCCGCCTATGCCACCCTAGATGTACAGTGGGACCCTTTGGGATCATGTGGCCCAGCCTTTTCCCTCTTCCCTCACCATCCTTCAGAGCCCAAAGCTTGTTTATTGCATGTCTGTTACATAGACCTCCAGCTCCCCTGGAACCCTTCCAGGGATGAGGAGCTCACTACCTCCAGAATCCGTCTGTTCTAAAGTCCCTTCTGATTACTTGGCTATTTTGCCCAAGAGCCCACACAACCCACCAGCCACGTGGAGCCAGCACATGCCAAGATGCCATGCGTCCTGGGTGCAATGACACCCTCGTGGTGGTTGGGCTACGGGCTGGGGAGGGGGTGTTATGTGAGCACGCATAGCTCCAGGCAGACGAGCCTGGCTCTGCCGGGCTGTCAGAGATGCTGAAGCCTCAACTCTCTCTGGCTCCCAGCAAGTACAACTATTTATAAAAGATGAGATTTGCCAGGGAACAGGGAGAGGCTGAGACATCTGCTCCCTCTGCTGGGGTGGCCGGTACTCACCATAAGCCTCCCAGCTCCAGCTCCCTGATTGGAGGAGCCTGCAAAGGCCCCAGCCCCAAAGCCCCAGTGAACCCCACCAGCAACACCTCTCTGCCCTGTCCCCACACCAAATGGACCTCTCAGGGATGGAATTGGCGGGATGTTCTTCTCAGAATGGCGGCTCCCTAGTCCTACTCCCATCTCAATCCAGCTCTGGGGAAGAGAGGGCAGCTCCTCTCAGAGGAGGAGGAAACTGTGCTGCCCTCCGACTCCGTTTGCCTACTGGAGAGCTGGCCTCTGGCCACCTAGACTTACCTCCCCTCTGAGACTGGGAGTGTCATGAGGGCAGAGACCATGATTGGTTTTCAGGGTTCAGGTGGAACAGGTTCTTGCAGCAGCCAGTGCAGCACAGTGGGTACGGAGCTGGTTTGGGAGCGTTTAGGAGCAGGCACAGAGACCTAAGTTCAAATCCTGACACTGTGATCTTCTCTGAGCCTCAACTTTCTCATTTCTTGAATGGGGATGAAAGGAATCTCTGCCTCTCAGCATTGTAAAAATATTGCATGTTAGTTGTTATTATGTCTTCACTGTTTAATGAATGACTGAGTTCTGAACTGTGTTGTGAAATGGATGGAACGCTAATTACGAGTCAGAAGACCTGAGTCCTGCCACTGCCAGTACGAAGTGCTGTGATCTCAGGAGCTAGATTCCTCCTCTCTAAGCCTCAGTTTCATCATCTGCAAGATGGGAGTAACAATGACAATGACATCTGCCCTGCCCAACCCCCACCCCTGGATATGTCATGAGGCCAGGATGGGGGAACGTAGGGGAAAGACAAACTGCTTTGAGTGTTTGTTCTAATGACAGCCACGCCATGGGTGACCGAACGGTGGGAGAGTGGAGAGAATCAAAATAAACAGACCTCAAAAAATGAGTATCTTCGTGCCTGGGGAGCTCCATTCAGTGTTCCCCTAACAATGGGTGACTGTCATTGGAGCAAACAGTGCCACCCATATTAATGCATTTTCTTGTCTGTAAAATGGGAGTAACAATATATCCTTCAGGAGA